CCCCAAAACCCCAAAACCCCAAAACCCCCAATCACCTATTTATAGAAGATTTTAATAGTCTATAATGATATCATATATTATTTTATAAAATTTAAATTCATAATTAATTATCTATTAAATAATATCATAAAGAATTAATGTCCGACTCAACAGCAGATCAGCAACAAGTTGAAGATCAAGATCAACAAGAGCAACAAAGACTCTAATAAGAATAGGAAGAAGAGAAATTAAGATTATAGAAAGAGCAGGAAGAAGAGGCTGAACGTAAAAGATAATAAGAGGAATAAGAAGCTCATTAAAAAGAATAAGAAAGACTAAGGCGGGAGCATGAGGAAGCTGAGGAATTAAAACGTCGTCAGCATGAGGAAGAACAGGAACGCCTTAGATAAGAGTAGGAGAAAAGAAGAATAGCTGAGGAGTAAGAAGCTGAACTCAAGAGATAAGAGGCTAAGAAAGAAAGACTTAGACTTGAAGCTGAGGCTGCTGAAAAAAAGAGACTCGAGGAAGAGGCTGAAAAAAAGCGTAAAGAGGAAGAAGAAGCTGAAAGATTGAGATAAGAAGAGGAGGATAGAAAAAAGAAAGCAGCTGAGGAGGAGAGATTAAGATTGGAAGAAGAAGAAAGATAGAGACAGGCTGCTGAACTAGAGAGATAGAGATTAGAGGCTGAAGAGGCTGAAAGAAAACGCAAGGAGGAGGAAGAGAGAATTAAGAGAGAATAAGAGGAATTGAGAATAAAACAAGAAGAGGAAGAAAAAGAGAGATTGAGGTTAGAAGAGGTAGAAAGAAAGAGAAAGGAAGAAGAAGAACGTATTAGATTACAGCATGAGGCTGAAGAAGCTGAACGTAAGAGGAAAGAGGAGGAAGCTGAGTAACAAAGATTGGAGGAATTGAAAAGAAAAGAAGAAGAGAGATTAAGAAAAGAAAAAGAAGCCGAAGAAGAAAGATAAAGGTAGGAAGCTGAAAGATTAAGATTGGAAGAGGAAGAGAGATAACGTAAAGCAGCAGAAGAAGAGAGATTGAGATAAGAAGCCGAGACTAAGCGCTTAGCTGATGAAGAAGCTGAGAGAAAACGTTTAGCTCATGAAGCTGAATTAAAGAGATAAGCAGAGGAGGCTGAAAAATAAAGATTAGCTGCAGATGAAGCAGAAAGATAAAGACTAGCAGCTGAAGAGGCTGAAAGGTAAAGACTGGCTGCTGAAGAAGCAGAAAGATAAAGATTAGCCTTCGAAGAAGCTGAAAGATAGAGATTAGCTGCTTAGGAAGCTGAAAGGTAAAGATAAGAAGAGGAGAGAGCTAGATAAGAAAGAGAGAGATAAGCAGAACTCGAAAGACAGAGGATTGCTGCTTAGGAAGAATAGCTAAGATTAGAAAGAGAAAGAGAATAAGAACTGTAAAGATAAAGAGATGAGTAAGAAAAACAAAGATAACAAAGAGATGAAGAAGAGAGAAGATAGAGAGAACTAGAAGAGCAAAGATAATAAGCTGAAGTAGAGAAGCATCATAATTATCATGAAGATCAAGTCGAACAACAGTAAGAGGCTAATGGTCATCATCATAATATACAAGATCCAGATACTTCATCTAAACATCTCTTGCATGAAGAATCAAAGAAATCTCCAGCCAAGGAGATGCCCATCTCAGTTGAAGGTGAAGATCTAAAGGCATCACTTCTATAGAATGACTAAAACTAAACAAATGGCAAGTATTAACTCGATGATGGATTGAACATTGAAAAGAGAAATATGCCACCTCAGCCAGCTGAAAGCTTGAAAAATATGTAATCTAAGACTCTTACCAATCTGAATGAGTTAAAGGACAAAAAGGGTCAACAAAGTAAATCGAAGAAGAATGCTAAGGAAGCTAATGATACCTGCAACTGCAACATTTTCTGAAATCGTCAATTTATTTTGCTTTAGTAAATTGTGCATTTATTTACTACCTCTCAATAATTATTTACTTCTCACAAGCTTAGAGGGGTTTTGGGGTTTTGGGGTTTTGGGGTTTTGGGG